CGAAAGCTAACCCTTTAATTTTGGCCAATCAGAGTTTTTGATGATCATCCAATCAAAACAAACTTCTATCTTGCTGTAAGCGACGGGTAACATACTAGTATTAATTTATTTTAATAACATAATAATTAGATTAATTAGCCAATCAGGTAACTTCGATCATGTGCAGGATCAACACAAATCTGACCAATCAGACGATCTTCCTCTTGATCATGTGTCGACAAAGCCTATTTTTGATTGGTCTAATCAACTCAAGAAAGAGGTAATCGAAATGCGTTTGTTAAAGACTCAACCAAATTAAACTAAATAAACCATTACTGACCTTTAACTAGTTTTTAGGTATAAACCCTTTTCAATAAAAGAACCTGGCTTATGTTTGAGTCCGTAACATTCTCGTGTCTGTTGATCGTAGGTATATAGTAGATTTAGAATCATAAGTGTAGATTTAGGTTTACTGATAATAAAACGCATATTGTGCTTGGTTTCTAGTTATATAATATAAATTTTATTTGTTTTTTCTTACCCCCTGGAATAGTATCCCCCTTTTTTTTTACAAGCGATTTGTGGTTCAGTTTTCATATTAATAGTGCGATCTTTTCATTTGGTTTGATATGTTTAATGACAAAGTATATAGTGATCAGTAACGATTATTTGTGCTATCCTTCCATCTCTCGATATTTGGGGGTATTATTCAATCTAGACTGGCTTTTTTGTAAAATACCCGGGGTACTGTATGCAGCGAGGCCTCGTTTTTGTTTCTTTAAGTATAAAATTTATGTAATTTGATTGGTTGATCACGAATGTCTAATCCGTGTAACGATGGTTTAGTGAACAACCAATAAAAATAAAATTTTTCTAACGTTCAGGACGATATATTGGTGTTACATCCTTCAATGAAGACTACGGTTTTAAGTGAATTTCGCATGACGGGTTGAAATAAGAACAATGACGACTCACCAACGCCAAACATCAGTTCATGAAGTTAAGGAAACTCTTGACGCTACGGTGACTGAAAACAAAGAAGGCGAACGTTGTCTAAACAATTATGTTCTGAAAGAAGTCATTGGCCAGGGAGCTTATGGAACGGTCAATTTAGCTGTAGATAAGCTCACTGGAAATAAATATGTAAGTATTGAATGTCGTAATATTTTAGCTCTTAATTTACGGTGATTTAGAACGGAAGTTAAAAAATTTTTATTTACATGGAAATTTTTCGATTAACATATCGTTTTTGTCGCGATAAGCTTTCTATACAAAACTAACCATATAATTCCTTTTATTCAACACATTTCTGAAAAAAAAAAAAGGCTATCAAAGAATTTAGTAAAACTCGACTTCGTAAAAAAACTAACTATTTCCGTCGTCCGCGTGGACGTTTTGGCAAAGTTATGGAAAATTATGATCCATCATCATCGGATCCTCTTTATTTGATCCGTGGTGAAGTTGCTGTCTTGAAAAAATTAAATCATCCAAATGTGATCAAATTGTTCGAAGTGTTGGATGATGAACAGGATTCTTTATATATGGGTAAGAATTTTTTTCTCTCCCTTCTCTTTTCTTTTTTTTTGTGTTTATTATGATTGTGAATTTTGAACTATTATCGGTTAAATTAGACTTATGATAATTATAATTCCTTCAGTTTTGGAAATGTGTGAAAAAGGTGTTCTTATGGATATCAGCATTCAGAAGGTAACAACGCCATTTTCCAATGAAAAAGCTCGACATTATTTTAGAGAAATGATACTTGGCTTTGAATATTGTGAGTAACATCATTTCATACGTCACACGTAGTGATGCTAACAGTCTGGTTTTAGGCTGCTGAACCATGGTCAGCATAGGATTGGTCTGGAACTAAAATAACTGATCCATACAGTCTAGTCTCAATCCTAAGGTCTCTTAATTGGTCCATTAGATCCTAAGACTATAAACATAAAAACCAGATTGTTAACATCCTTAGCCATACTTGTGATCGAACTTTCAGGTCTAATTTCATGACTTATATCCAATTTATGTCTGTTTTATACTTAACGATTAAATAGTACATGAGCATGACATTGTTCATCGAGGTATTAAATTTAATTATTATAAAGAGTTTTATGATACAAATTGTGGATAGTTTATGTGGATTTATTTATTCAATTGATTTTATTCAGATATCAAGCCCGATAATCTCCTTTTGTCTGCTGAAGGTGTTCTCAAGATTGTAGATTTTGGTGTGTCTGAGATGTTTACTGAAGGGAATGATAAAATGAAAAAATCGGCTGGTAGTCCAGCTTTTATGGCACCGGTAATGTCATTTTAACTATGGAAATATTGATCAACTAAATCATATTTCTTCTCAAAAATTAATAATTGTATTCTGTTTTATATACTTGTTTGCAGGAATTGTGCGTGGGTAAACAATAATAAAGATCTGTTTACATATTCATCATAGCAAAATTGCATCTTGTCTAACTGCTTGCAATTATTTTAGCCAATCGTGGAGAGATTTCTGGAAAGGCTGCTGATATTTGGTCTATGGGCGTGACTTTGTATTGTCTTGCTTTTGGACGTTTGCCCTTCGTGAAAGATAACATAGTTGACTTATATGAATCGATAAGAAATGACGAGTTAGTTCTGTTCATCCTAAAAATATTGTTAACCTTAGTTGAACATTAAATTGAATTATTATTTTTTTATTGACGTATTATAGTATTACTATTCCAGAAGGTTCGAATCCCGACCATGACCTTATGGACCTTCTTCATAAAGTTCTTGAAAAAGATCCTGAGAAAAGAATTATTATGTCTAAACTCAGAGTTAGTTAAATTCTATGTTTCTTTAGTTGTGTCTATATATTATAATGACTTTTTTTTTTTTGTATATCAAAAGGAGCATCCATGGGTAAATAATCACGGAAAAGATCCTCTCATATCGACTGAAGAAAATTGCAGTGAACTTGTCACCGAAATTACGGTTGATGACTTGAACTCTGCAATTAAACTCTTAAGTTTTAGAAGCATTGTTGTCGTGGTATGCTAAACATTTCATTTAGCTAAACAACAAAGTCTTATATGTAATTTATTTAGTAATTTTACATTTTGTAGCATCGTGCTGTTCAACAATTCAAAAGACTGTCAAAGTCGCATCATTATTCGGCAGAAGAAATGGATAAATTGAAAAAGGATGTACAGGATGCCGAAGAAAAGAAAGAAATGGAAGTAACTGAACATATTGCTATTATTACGGAAAGTACATAATTGCTGTAGAGCAAAAAAAAATTTTTGTGTATTTTGTTAAATGCAAAACTTTAATGTCTACGCTTATTTGTTTTCGGTGAAAGTATATACGTTCAGTTCTTTGGCGGGATATTATATCATGCGCTGAATCATTAGTTTTTGGTAAATTATTGCATTGACGATTTTGGTAAATTATTCATGAGGTTGTTTTTTATGGTCGATGTTTTACATATCTTAATCTTATTTGTAAAGTATTTTTCGCAGTTATGTCACATCAAGTAATTTTTATTAGTGAATGAAACTTAACAAGTAGATTAAATTGTTATATTTCCTTTATAATGCAAAATAATTAATATAAAATGAGCTATATACAAAAATCAATTTTTTGGTTCTTTATGACTGGATCAAATTGATAAGGATTAGAATCACAAAAAAATGTGTTGGCGGTTAATCGCGTCACATAAATGTAAAATTCATGATCACGATTAGTCTCGATTTATAATCGCTTAGCCGTTTAATCGCGGTTATTAATCGTTTAATAATCCATATAATCGTTTAACCATTGCCCAATAACGATAGTCAAACAACAGTTTAACCGCATTCGCATAACCCATTTAATCGGCTATTATTAACCGCGTATATAGATCATATGTAATTATATATACGTATGGGAACATAGCGATGGTATCTTTTATGCCATTTGGAATAATGCTTATTACTATTATAGTTATTTCGATTGGCCGAATTAAGCTTAATTTAGGCCAAAATTTGAAATTACACTGCGCGTTATTACTAATAACGCGCAGTGTAATTTCAAATTTTGGCCTAAATTAAGCTTAATTCGGCCAATCGAAATAACTATAATTAGTGTTCCGCATGATTCGGACCGGGCGGGTATTTTTAAAGATCCGTACCCGGTCCGAACATCGATTCGGATCTAAAATTAGGGTCCGAACTCGTATCACTTAGATCCGAGTCCGGTCCGGATCCGTGAAATTTCAAAATTTATAGATGCTATAGTTGACGAAGTCCTAACGTCCTCGCTAAAAAAAAAAAAAAAAAAACGATTACAGCTATTTTCATAAATTCTGGGACACTTGCCGAATGATTTTAAAATTTATAAATAAATTATACTGTATAAAATATATTTAAATATATTTAAACTAATAAATAAATTAGTAAATAATTTTATTTTAATACAATAATATATATTTATATTTAA